GTATATCAACTCGAATCACAATTGGACAACTAGAGTGATAGATGTAGTGTAGGTACCGGTATTGCTACGTGAGTGTTCTGGAGAAGAGGATATGTCTGGAAGTAGCTCTGGTGATGATGATGACGAGGAGCTGAGTACAGAGAACGGCTGGTATCAGGTAGTGTAAGGAGGTGATATATTAAGGTAGTAGTAGTAGCCCTTGTTTTAGGGTGGGGTGTCCGAGGAGAGACTCGTATTCGATAAACGTGTAGGTGTTAGAGGACTCAATGAGAATGGCGAGACAGAAGTAAGACGTTATTGTTGCTGCTCTGTGTAGTAGTAGCGGTGATGGTCAGATAAAATGGTCATCGGGAGATATATGGACATACGTCTCGCCTCGGCTCATCGTGCTTCATGGTGGCTTGCCGATGCATCCTGGCTCAGGCTCGCCTATAAGTGCTCAAAGATCCACAGGGGCTTTCGCCTCTCTCTTTTCGTAATATTCATAGGAAAATGTGGTGGGATGGTTAGACGTGTGGGTTTTTATGACGAAGGTCGTGGGTTCGATTCCCACGTCGACTGCGTGTCATTTTAGGGGTTCCTCGGCGATGGGTCCACAGACGAGCACAAGCCAGGATGATGAGGGCAGGAAATGTGTGCTCCTAAAATACTTCCATCAGCTTCCCAACAGAATGAGAATCCCCAGTTCCCCTCAAGGAGTGTTCGAACAGTGGATGTATCAAATCCTATGGAGCGATCCAAGGTCAGTGCAGGGCGATGAAACGATGGACTGTTGTTGACATTGGACGGACTGTGTATAGGGAAGTTGGTGACACTAAAGGGAGGGGTACACCATTCTACCCGGACGACACGGAACTCTTCTGTGCGAGGAATAACATACACACAGTGATAAGGTGATACTAGTCGAGAAGCATAGAAGTGCCTTAATCTCACATGCAGGAGCCACCAGCTGCCGGCTATGCAAAGAGGCTTCTCCTTCCACCATAAGCATAAGCTTATCACCATATTCTCAGCGAGTAACTACTGTGGAACTTCACAGAATTACGGAGGTAACGTGTCAATGTTGAGGGCATTCCCAGCCTGGAAAGTACCATTCGGGTTAGGGTGAAATTATGTCACTTGTGTGTTCATCTCCAGTGAGCGGTACTATGATGAGGTTCAATGGAATATCACCGGTGATGTGGAAAGCACTAGTGAAAAACATATTTCAAAATTCTCTCGTTGGACACCGAAACATATACGTCCCATACTTCACGTTAAACGAGTGGAACTCCGATGTTCCTGGTGGAGAATTTCTATTTCCAGGTCTGTTGATATTCACAACGGAGCTCTTCCCAGAGATACAGTACTCCCGCAATCTGTTTGAGCATTGGAGCCCACCTCTTTCCGTAATACAGGACGTTTACTCTAAGGTGAGTCTTGGCTGATCTACTGTATGCTATTATCACTGCTACGCTCCGCTCAGCATAAGAATGCTAGTCAAGACGTAAGGCAGTATATCGCGAGGGAAACTGAGTCGGCGAGGATGCCCACGGACATGAACAGCAGCTCCAAGTGGCTTTACATTGAACAGAAGGTCTCTGAATACGCGATGTCGCTGATCGTGCAGAACAAGAGGCATCTGTGGACTAACCTCTGGACGCGGGATGAAGATAAAACGATGAGGGTTGACCTTGCGGATTGGGAAGATGTAATGAAGGTGTGGTATGGCTGGCGCATTGGAGGTCTTAGGCCTGTGCTCAAGTGGTCGGGCACCAGTTCCCGTGGAGGACTCTCTTCGTGCAGCTGGATATTGAAGAGGAAGATGACGGAACGGTCGACTATCTAGACTTCCTCAATAGATTCCGGGCAAGCCTTCGAGATGAGAGTGGTAGGTTCCAACCCAAGGGGCCTCTGGTGACACACCTCGGAGAAGGGTGGGAAAATATGAACATGGCGACTGCATGTGTTAGTGACAATCTGGAGGAAATCTAGGGAAGTCCTCACTGGTTTCTATACACTTCTATCCGAATTCTTGAGTACTTGTGTACTATGCGAGGAAACTACTGAACTCAGTTGAGGAAAGTATCGTATATTGCAACACTGGCTTGTTGAGAACGTCTGCTGCCCTGACAATGGTATTACTACATATTATATGACTCATAGTAAGAATAGTAATCTTTATAGGTATATCTTTTCATAAATATAATATCAGCTTGAATTTTTTTGTAATATTTAGTGATTAAATTACCTATTACCTGAATGTAGGTCCGTTCGATTCCTGGCTGGCCTCGGTCGTTCTGGGATTCTTTATGGACATTCTCAACGCTGATATGGCGATACAACAAGACCTGCTCACTGGGTAGGGTTCGGGCTTGGGGTGGATCTTGCCATCTTGAATTTCCTCAATAGGGAGCCTGGAGAGAATCTCATTAACTACGAACAGTTCGAGCGGTCTCTCCGAGATAACTGTCCTGACTTGACCATCACACATGTAATATAGGAGGTCGCGTCGCTCCGCTAAGAAGTGTAATTTTGTTTCTCACTTTTTCAGATCCAACTGGTGTGGCAAGCCCTGATCGAGTGTTCGACTCCTGAGCGCCGTCGAGCTGGGCTGGTGGATGCACGCCAGTTCGTGTGTGCCTGTGGGGAGTTCTATCGTGCCCGATGGGTGAGGAAGAAAAAGTTGTCGACTTTTCGCATCGCTCCGCCTCCTCAGGATCTACACGAACCTGTCTTTTCGAACTCACAGACGTTGCCGTCGGCCAATGAGGAGGAGATGCTCGAGAAAATTATGGACTTCCTACCGAGGTTGAGGGACTCTATTGAGCAGCAATACGACAACGACACTCAGGTTGGTGCAAAGGGAGGATGGGTTGTTCCCACAAGCCAACTATGACACACAGTCCCGTTTCTCGGGAATTATGGGAGTTTCATAAGCCTTGGTAATTACCGCTCTTCAGCGTTTCTTCGAGGAGAAGATAGAAGGTCCAGCGAAAAAGAAGATTCCCGGGGCGGTCTCCAACGAGGGTAGGCGGCGGTACGCCTGTTGGCAGTAACGGCTCGACCCCATACCGACTGTCTCCTCAGATTTCGTCAACGCCTTGACAGCTGAGCTGCCCTCTCTGGGGATAACGGAGTTGCCATCTCGGAACTTCCTTGAGCTCACCGCACGGATGATGGAGTCCTGCAGTGCGACCAGCAATGGGCACCCAGCCTCGGGACGAGGGGCGCGGCTGGTCAGCTCGACCAATAGTGGATACGTATCCCTCTTCCGCTTCATGGCTACTCTTCATGTTGACGGCACGGAGGCTGGCCGAGTGATGGCTCAGAAGATTATGGAGCACAGCTGTGCCGCGACCTACTTCCATCGAAACGCATTCAAGTGTGCATGCGCTCGTTTGGACCCGCAAAATTGTGGGGAGATATCAAAGAGGAATTTCCGTAAGGCTTTTACTGCTCTGAACCAAGCGTTGGATCCTGAGTGGAGGCTAACGAAGTGAGTTTAGACGGGTAGTTGTGGTGGAGGATGTGTTTGTTTGTAGATTGCAAATCGATGCGGCTTTGGACCATTTTGACTGGACAGTTGATGCTGATGAAGAGTTCACTGATGGTAGGTGTCTGCTGGATGGTGCTGGTAGTCATCATTCGCGTGGTGATGGTGGTTAGCGTCCTCTTCTGATCAAGACATGAAGTCGGTGGATGAAGAGCCGCCACCGGCTGCAGTGGCGGGACAGGCTAGAAGGCCTACTCTCGGAGCTCTGTCGGCTTCTAATACTAATAGCGCTTTGGAGATGCTCAGAGGTATACTCATGGTTGATGTGATAGTGACCGGATGGTCGATTTGATGGTTTTGTCATCAGAACGTTCACGAACCCGTTCCTCGGCTCGACTGATGCTACCGCCGGGAGTGAGCACATCAGCTCCTATGGTGCTTGATCAACCACAGCCGGAACAGCTCGACCAAAAAATGTGGATCAATTACGATCAGTTCTTGCGATCATTCGAGATTGCTGATTGGAGGAAGAACAGCCGGTAAATGATGTGCATCGCTCCGCTCGACATTTACTTCACGATTTTTCTCAGAGCTGGTTCCTTCGGTTGGCATTTACTGCGTAACAGTATGCTCAGATTTTAGCCGTCGACATTCGATAGAACTATGAGTGGAAATGATTATCATTACTATTACTACTACGGCCTTGCCACAGTGTCTTATCATCAGACCTAAGGCGGGCCCTGTGGTCTCATTTCATCGAACAACTCTGTTTACTCATCCACCGAATCGCTGTGTTAGTATCTGCTAATACTCTGAGAAGCAGCGAGAGGACGCTCTTTCCCTTTTTCGTTCAGCAGCTCAGGAAATCGCATGTTGCATTTCCACCAACAAATGTCCGTTTTCTGATCGCGAACGGTGATTGATTCCCCATGTTATCCCAAATCTTCGAGCAGTCCCAACGTGACATCTCGGTTCCTATCAAATTGCGAAGCGTGTGTGCTTGGATACTATCTTTCCTGGATCATTGCGTCATTTGGCCTCTCGTTTTCAGATTGTTCCAATATGATTTATCAAGGGTTCCCGACGTGTGATATTCATAGTGGTTGTGTATCATCTACTATGAACACTTTCA